TGTCTCACTCTGATCATATTATTCTTAGAAGTCTATTATCATAAAGTACCTATACTGCTACATACATTCCCGCTTCAAGCAAAATATGCTCTACAAATCCAATCCCTCGAAGATAAGGTAAGAAAGTGACCAGCCAACTGCCACTTCATTACACGTATACCATTTTTTACTAAACACAATGCCACTTAATCTACTGTAAAGCAAAAATTTCCAATCCTCACAAATACCCAACCCGTCCAGTGAATTTTAAAAGGAAAACAACAAACTACAAAGTGCTCCAGACATGTTGGATTAAAAAAGTTTTGTGTTCATTCCCGTTGGCTTTAGTTAGGTAAATACCTGGATAATCTAGTGAAAAAATGAGCACTTCTATGTAATGCAATGCTAAAAGCAGACCGGAATGTTTCTCCTGTTATTGCATTCCGTTAACTGGTGAAGTAGACTATTTCTTTTATAGTTCGTAAATAGACTTGATAGAATAGTCCGCATGCAACATACTTACAGTATTATTAGTTTTTCGTTACTATCTTTCTTACTATACTTACGCAAAAACAGAATCATTGTGTTAAAAAATCATTGGGTTGCCCTCGCTCGTTGTTACGAGTACTTCGATAGTGAGTGTGGTGGAAGTTAATAAAATGAAAGAGTGGACTGTATACAATTAGTTGTCTATTCGGTATAAATTAACAATGTTATCGAGACCGTTTTGTGCAAAGTCGTTGAAGAGAGTGCGTCAGGATCGTCTTCTTAGATGTTCGCTCGCGAACCAAACATTGCTCGTTCGTTCGCCGAACGCTCGCCGCTCCCTCCGGTCACGCCGGGCAATGTCCGTGAGTAGACACTCGTCTTATCTTAAAATCTCGTTTGTTCGTTTCAGCCGAATGACGTCCACTGCTGGACAAGGCCTCTCCCCCAAGGAGTTCCACAAAGACCGATAACCGTCGCCGTAACCTCCATGATTTAACGTCTATAAAATTTATTGGGAAAGGCAAAGCTCACATAATTTTTGATAGAAATTGGTTCTAGAATAATATTTCAAGTTAATTAAGTACTTTGAAATTTACTGTCGTGTTGCATGAACATGAAATTAACGCCATCGGATCATGCTTAGGTAATAAATTATATAACTTTTTATTCGCCGAACATCTCGTCAGGTATACCTTAACCATTTAAGGCTGGGTTGCACCATCTTAATTTAACTTTAACAAACGTCAAAAATCTGTCAAACTCCATACAAAAAGCACAGGTTATCGTTATAGTTGCCGTTAAAGTTAGGCGGTGCAACTCAGCCTAAATTACCATATTAAATTTTGAGGCTGAGTTGCACCACCTAATTTGACCGTAACTATGACGACAACCGGTGCTTTTTGTATGGAATTTGACAGATTTTTGACGTTTGTTGCAGATAAATTAAGATTGTGGAACCCAGCCTAACTCTACATTAATACGTTAACATGCATACTTACAACAAACTACCGGTTGTTACCGTAACAAAATTAATTTGATCCCCGTAAAACCAATTTCGTTGTTAAAATTTAGTAGAGCGTTTTTACTTGGGAGTGCAAGCGTAAACTTTCAGAGCGCTCGAGAACATTCGCCGGGGGAATTTAACTTTTCGAAATGAAAACTGACATAATAAGCACTCTTGGCAGTTGAAGTATCGGGTGCAACACGTGGTTTCGGAAGATTGATTTATTTTCAAGCCCTTAAGATTACAGAGAAAATTAGTTGCTTAATTAAGTTTATATGGCCATGAATGTTTTTTAGAAGAGAAGGCAATTACGTGACCTTTGATGGTCAGATTGGTCAGTCATTACGATAAGTTCTTAAAGAGAGTAAAATGTTTTTTTTTCCTAAAAAGAGTTTAGTAATATTATAGCGTGTGTGTATAGTGTCTATGTGGCGTGTGTGCATATGTGAAATATTAAAACTCTTGCAAAAGGGGTGCAGAAACATTTTGAAACGAACTGGACACTACTTTAAAGCTTCCAAGAAGAGTGAAAGAAAAGTTTCGATTTATTTCCTACAACGCGCAACGTTGTAGATACAATTTAAAAGCAATTTTACATTTCGCTAACAATTATAACTTTTTACAGTCTGCTTGTTTAATATTGTAAATATCTTCCAAAGTACCTACCTGGTGAGGATCAGTTCCACCTTTCGACCTTCATCGTCACGAAAGTTTTATCTCTTGTGCGAGTGCCCTGGGGCTCGTGTGGTAATTTTAATTAAGCATATTTACCGGGACTGCGCCGGTCGCACTTCGGGACGCATTATAAATGTTGGTCGTAAAGGTAACAAACGAGCGCGGGCGCTGCCGGTCCCAGGGATGTCAGAACGACCTGACGTTTCAGTCAGAACGTTATGACAAGGTAGAAGGTTTGAAATATGTAGGCAAAAATGTGTAGGCATTTGAAACAGTTAGTGCCATTAAACGCAAAAAAATCTCCATTAAGAGAATTGAAAAGAGGACGGCAATAGTGACTGTATTTTTAGACTGTTCACAACGTTGACCCAAAACAATATTATGTAATCTTTTTTATACCAATTGGTCATCCTTCCTTATACCTAGGTAAGGGCTTACCATTACTTAGTGAAGGAGAAATTCTAAAGTGATAAATCTTATTATAATAATGGAAATGGAATTAGCCATAAAATAGACGAAATAATAGATAGGCACAGCATGAGCATAGCCCATTGTATTTAATTTTAAACTTACTTTTAGAGTTTATTATTTACATTTTCAAATTAATTTTAAATCGTTTTCTTTCAAAAATGTGTTTATTGTTCATCCCTGCCCCGCCTCTCGCCTCGCCGCCTGTCTTTCTCGCTGTAAACTGCCTCCAGCCGACACGTGATACCCACCTGCGCGACTCCTTCCTTCCTGCTTGTGAATAGTGTTGGATATTTAGCGAGCATTCATACTTTTACGAGCACTTCGTACGAATTTCGCACATTTACGCCACAAATCCTTTACATTTTTGGGAATCTTTTACTTGAGTTGTGACTAATTTTGGTAACGTCTGAAAGATGCGACGCGTCAGCACGTTAACTGATAAAGATCATAAACTAGACCCTTGCCTAAAAATTGTTTCCCATTAAAAAAAGGCCCACATTTGGCTGACTATCGCAGAAAAGTGAGATTTAAAACGATGATTGGGTGCGATGCCACAAAAAAACGAGCAGCGATTTAGGTCAATCTCTGCAAGTCAGCGAAAATTTAAATTCTTCAAATTCTAAGTTACGTGGGCGGGGATCGCAGAATTTCCTCCGTTCGTATTTGGGTTGGGTTTTCTTCGGGCGAATTCGGCAAGCTTCCGAAAGTCTAGGAAAATTGAACGCAAATCCGATTTGTCCGGATGCCGAAGTGGAGTCTTTCTAAAATTTGAAATAGCACCTATGCATTGACCCTTATCTTTGGGAACAATGTCTACAGGCGTCGTATTGAATCAGCTTCCAACACCTAAAGATATCTAATCCTATAAGGCTAGGACAATGTTCGGACGATGACAAAGATGGAAGCAGAATTACATCTGCAATATTATCTTGATATTCCAACGTGAATCGTTTTCAATTTAGCTATTTCACGTTTTTTAACTTATACCTATTTGGAACTATTATAGATCATAATAAAGCGATCTATCATTGACATTATGCAAATAGAACCACATTTGCCTAAACATTTATTGATTACATTACCAATTCCACTCATGAAAACGTTATAACATGTATTTTACATAATTCAGCTCGGTGTTACAGCAAAGGTCAAAGGTCACACAGCTTACCGCAGAAGGAGCGTGTATTATCCCCCACATTCTGTTGCGACTTCGTCGCAATAAATTGTGAAGTTCGCGCTGGAATTACATACAGAATAGGTCGAAGTTTGGGCAGCATGGAGGAAACATGATGATCTATGTTTCAATCGGTATACAACGGTACCTAAATGTTTTGAAGAAGACTTGAGAGTGACTCTAGATTTCAGAACTCAGTTCTTATTCTAGAACGACGCTGTAAAGTCCATTCAAAGTCAAGCTCAGATCCAAATCTGTTCATTTTTTATCCTGTAAATTTTCATCAATCACAGACTTGATATTAGTACTTGTGCGTTTTAAAATGATAACGGTTAGTCTCTTTTCTAGCGTGGCTTCAACGTGAACACAAGCGCTATGTTCTAAAGTTTTACCCTAGATGCTGTACACACATGTTGTTAGCTTTTTTCGTTCAAAAAAACTGATTCATGCAGGTTAACTACAGTATGATTAACAATTTGGTATAAATAAACTTTTTTTTTTCTTCCTGTTGTCTATTTGGCAAATGTAAAACGAGTGGTAGCACGTAGCACTTCAATAAAACATAGACACTGATTGTTAGTACAGCGTTTTCAAATGCACAAAGCGTTAGTTTTGTACCTACCTTTTTAAATTTTATTCGTAGTTTTATTACAAAGCCTTTTTATCTACGCGTTGCTTTTATGAACATGAATGTTTTGAACGGTATTAAAAAATAATAAAATGCAACGATGGTTACGAACAATAGACAATAAAATTTTAAGAGTTAATAATTTTGGGTAATTGATGACGAACAAGAAGGGTGTACATATTTAGCACTATCTCACTACTGATATGGAGACTAAATCTACAACATCTCGAAGATGGGAATACACGGAATCATCATCATCGGGCATTTTCACTGCAGAAGCACAACCCTTTCTGTTTATCAAAATGACTCAACAGTAAAATAGAGAACAAAATAATAATCCCATCGAATCCAGTATTTAGCCAAACGACAAACGCATGAATGAGCCTGTTGTCACTGCGTTTTACATTGATAGGCTATTTAGCCCTTTGTTGCTAAATGATGAGGCCGCTTACCGCGTGCTTATCAGATAGGTAGGGGAGAGGGGGGCATAGTGGAAGGGGTGGGCAAAGCGAAAAATTTGATTTTACCAACACTCTTTCACTCAACGGCACTCGTGCTTCACGTAAGCCGTAACAGGGCCGACCAAGGTCATTGACCAAAATCAGTCCGGCTAGCGCCACCGAGCAGGCTACATGACTGCGCGATGTAGATCGAGTGAGTTTCTTACGAAATTCAAGGATTTTGGAGACTGGATATTATTGTGAAAAGTGAGTAGTGATGGTATTTTTATTATTTAAATCTAATATCTGTTTATCATAGATTTCTTTGACATTTTGTAGATTAAACAAATTTTAATACTTTCTTAGTTATCAATTGAAAACTGTAATTATTATCAAAAAGGCAAAGTGGAAAAAATTACAAGGGGGCAAAGTGGAATGACTCCCACATAGAAATATTTAATTTGTTTTTTCAGATGGTTCATAATTATTACAAAAGTAAAACGAACCAAGGCTCATGGACAGAAGATCAAATGAGAAGAGCGATGGAGGAAGCGAGTCTTACTACGATTAGTTCGGCATCAAAAAATATGGTATCCTAATTGGAACTCTTCATTGTCATTTGAAATCTGGTGATGCATCGAAGAAGATTGATAGGTTTCGTCCAGTATTTTTCAAAAAAACTGGAGCAAAAAAAATATGATCTTGCAGTAGTAAGGGACAAGGTTTTTTATGGCCTAAAACAGTTCCTAATTACCAAATAAGTTGTTTATGTTATTTCATTTAATTGACCTCATTAGCAAAATGCTCAAATAGAGTAGATAAACGCTTAATAAGTGCCTTTTTCACTTTGCCCAAAGTGCAATTCCACTTTACCCTTGTGATAAGGGCAAAGCGGAAAATTATAGACTATAAAAAAAAGTTATTTTATGCCAAAATAGTTAATAATTCGTAAATTTTTTTTATTTTTTCGATTGAAGTTAAGTACTCCACTATGCCCCCCCTTCCCCTACTTAATGTTCATTGATCTCCATACAATGTGGTAATATTGGGCTGTGCGTCAATTGAAAGATATTTTATTAGCTGGATTGTTTTAACACGTGATGCAATATTGTTTTTTTTAGTGAATTAAGGGTAAGTGGCCAGAAAGAATTAATTTCATCTTTCTTCGTCTATTTATTTGTACACCTATGTAGGAGCATTTATGATAACGCAAAATGAAATGTTTATTTTTAACAATTATATTTTGCTACTGCATCTTTTCTTGTTGCTGCTGTTCATGTTATACACAGATTTCTTTCATTGATGATGATCACTCAATTAATTGATCAAATTGATCATCTAAGGACGTTTACTTACATCCCAGAATTTCGCTGAAAAAAACAATTTTCGGCCATCGACCCCGTCTCAAAATAGAAGCGGCCAAATTCTGTTTGGTCAGTCAACGTAATCTCCTTAGTAATTCGGGGCGATTGGGTGGGTAAAGGATGCCCTTTCATCCTGAAGGGGTGGGTGGGGCTAATTCTGGTCACTGCACTGGGGGTAAGCCGGTCTCACCCTGCTTAGGTGAAAAAACAGTGTAAGAATTACTACTTTCGTATAAGAACATTTGGATTCTCCCATTCTATACTTCCCTGTTGTTAATCAGGAAAAAATTATCGATATTCCATAGTTTTCGAACATCATCTGTTAGTAGGGAAGCACGAAAATTGCACGGGCATTTAATTAGATCCGGGACAGTAAAAAAATGGATATGAGATATAATGAAAATTGACTTTGAGTGTCACCGTTGTTTGGATTTGCAAAATTGCGCGGACTATGTGTAGGTACGAAACTTGTCTATTGATTCTGTTACTTTTTCTACTAACTCTTTTAGTAAACATCGTTGTTCACGCATTAAGTACCAAAGTTTAATCTGCATTAACGTGTATGTACTCTGTGTTATAAATAAATCTCTTTTGAGGGCGTGTTGACGTGGAGTTTTATTGGTGTTTTACGACGTGATAATTTTTATTAATTTATTTTGACTGTAAAGTGAATTTTTATGGCACTTTATATTTGAATGTTTGATTATATCGACTGCTAGTAGTACTATGTACTTTGTAACGACTTGATTAACTCCTGACAACAAAGATGCAAAGAGAGATTTCATGACAAATATTGGCATTGTGTAGGGATCAAACCCTCGAATCGCCAGACTAGGCGCTAACGGAGATAAGAGACACAATTTTGAAATATGAAATTTTTAGCAACATCGCTCCCCTATTAACGTTGAATCGGTCGAATTGCCCGAAGAAATTGGTAGGTGAAATTCATTTGGCGCGGTTGGGGGAATAGTGCGTTTTCACTTTAAGCTTAGGTACTGTGTCTGCCTCTAGACCTCTAAGAAGTACCTATCGGTTGGAGATATTTTTAGGTAGGAGACTCACAAAAATAAATTGATAGTTGTACAGTCGATAACTTAGATTAGCCGTAGAAATGTGCATTAGAGGTTTAAACTGTTTGGTCCTTTTAGGTTAAGTCAAACGCTATTGCATCTCATGTTGACAGAATAAACCTAGAATATAATTTTTATTTATACAGGGTTTTAGGTAAATGGGTATATGAGCCGACACTAGCCCATGTTAACATGGGCATATAAATGGTATGGTGAAGTCATAAATTTGATATCATCATTTTAATTTTTTTAATTTTCATACAAAATAAATTTTATAAAATCCGATTTGAATGAAAAATAAAATAATTAAAATGAAGATATCAATTTTCTGACTTCACCATACCATTTATATGACCATGTTAACATGGGCTAGTGTCGGCTCATATACCCATTTACCTAACACCCTGTATAGGCCTATAATCTAGAACGAAATGAAATTAGAAACCTACACTCAAAAATAGAATTAGTAAGCCAATGATTGTTCTAATCTAAATACCCACTTTTTGATCAAAGGGACTTTAAAGTCTGATACGGGCTATATTCAGTCTTATACGAAAAAAAGAACCAATAAATTGTAGAATGTTCGCTATCGCCTCTACGATAAGCCTTGCACGCAGCTTATAGAGCGTTTGAAGCTATTTAGATGCGATCTAGGAGCTAGTTCCAAAATAATGGTGTAAGTGATTGACCTTCCTATCCAGCTACCTACTTATTTACACCAAACTATTTCTGTTGCGCAGTATCACGATGTTGTGGGTACGTACGGTAGGATAGCTTTTCCAATTTAAATTATACTAAAATTCAAAGAAGTTTGATATCTTGATCTCTACCGAAAAAGTACCTAATGACATGAAAATACATTTACATGTGTATTCTTAAACTTATCTGCTTTCTTAGCCTACAGAGGATTATGTGAGGAAAATTAACCACACTATACATTTCTAGTGTCAAATAAGCAAACATACGGGTACCTACTTAGTTTCTCTAAGCATAGGACGAATTTACGCATTCAATATAATATGCTTGTTACAACAGTGCTATGTCGACAGTGTGACGAAACATCTTTGTGGCAAATTGAAGTGTATTTTTGTGGACCTGCAGCGTGTTTTATTTGTGGTCTTACTACATCAGCCTCTACTATCGTGACGATGATAAACGTTGCACGCGGGTTTGCCCGGGCGTGCGCTTACGGCTACGAGTATTTAGTTAGATGCAACAATGCTGAATTGATACACAATTTCCTTAAAAAATCATCTAAATATACCCAGTTTATTTACTAAGCTTTTTCATTATTTTCACCTGAAACTAAAGTGGTCTTACTGCACCAGGTTTTACTACACCGGTATCGTGACGATGATAAACGTTGCACGCGGGTTTGCCCGGGCGTGCGCTTACGGCTATTTAGATGCAATCGCTTGCCGCCGACATTACAGCAGGCCTACACGCGAGCTGCCTGGATAATTATCACTTCAGCCTCATTTGGTAACAATTGATAAACAATGCCCTTAAGATCATCTAAATACGGTCTTTTTTCTGTAGTTAAATTTATTTCATTAGTGAAATTAAAATGCCAAAGTAACTCAACCTGTTCGTCTCATACTAAGATTTCTATAGTAGTCAATCATATTTAGTACAGTGTGTCCTAACATTATTTTTAAAGAATGAACTTAGACAAGGAAATAGGCTACCTACCATTATCGTTTCCTAGCTAGCATTTAGACTCAGATCAAAGTATAGGCTGAATTTATGTACAAGATACAAGGGAACTCATCTTATACGATCATGTTTATTCCAGCATCTTTGTGCAAAATAAAGAACACGATTTTATGCAGCCCATATTTCATGTTACAACATTACACAAAACTTTACCTAAACTACAGCTGTCTTCGCCAACGTTCATTAAGAACGTAGCTTGAATCCGTTTAATCGCCTTTACAGTCCATAATTTCGCCTAGGCCAGCCGAATAAAAAGTACCCTCAATCTGGGGTCAAGCTTTTAAACTGCCGCACTAAATTGCAAAAGGAATACTGTAAAAGGAGGAGTTGCCATTAGTTGCCGCTGTAAAAGGAAGAGTTGCCATTAGTTGCCGCTGTGTAGGCGTGAGCTATTGCGTCTCTACGTGTCTTACTACTTTCTTCAAGTTTTAATTGCGAAAGTTCCTGAAAATAGCACCTTAATGCAACTGTACTTGGTCAGTGAAAACATGTTGATTATTTTTTTAAATACTGCTTAAGCCGGAGTTATAAATGTCTGAAGTTTTGTGTCGTGACGCATCAGAAATGAATCGGTGTCATACTCTAGAATATTGTGTCGTGTCGTGTAACGTGTTATCAGAAGCGATGGTTCCTGACGTGTCTCATAATGTATGAAACTGATGATGCGTCATGACATAATACGTCAGATAAAATAAACACGGTTTTAGATACACAGACATGCATAGCATGCAGTAGCATAAAAATATTCGTAGCAATGTCTACGATTTTCGTAGCGCTACGACGAAAGAATTGCCCATCAATAATGTTTAGCTCCACATAATTTGTTCAAAAGTATCGTGACACTTGAAATAAATAAAAATATTCTTACCTACTTTTTGATAGCATTAGAAACTAGCGCAAAGCTATTTGAAGTATTTTCTTAAAAAAATCGTCTCTCTCAAAAATGAATGCATTTTGCTTTGCGGCGTGAGCAAATATTTTATTTTCAATTGCTGCTTGGGTAATAAAGTCTTCTTGTTATTTTTAGGTGTAGCCTTTCGGCAGTTTACAGACTTGAGATTACTTCAAATTGTATACCTTTATATAAAAAACTTACTAGTACGTCCAACTAAGATTAAGTGCCTCAGGTATGTAACTACGTCTGTGACAATGTTCGCAGTTATATTCAAACGTACTGTGAAATATACACCGTAGAGTTTATTAATGGAATATGACTCCAGCTGGAGTCATAGGCGTATAATTTCGACACACACGTGACTCCTTTGGAGTCATTAGACTGTGAACGTGTTAAGCGTCCAATGGTTGAATGTTAACCCTAACTAACATAGCAGTTGATTGACGCCCTCAATTTGACGGTAATTCTGGCTTAACCAGCTTATGGTCATAGGACAAGGCTGCAGTATACAGTGAACCGCACACCACACTAAATTGTTTGTTGCAAATTCGCATTTATGGCAATACAATAAGATGCAACTTTGTGGCTTTTATGCCGTCTATAATCTGTGCTAGGTTCACTATGGTTATGGGTCGCGTGCGTAAGGGTTTACAGGCTACAATATCACCGCCCATTGCAGTTCCAAGGACTACCTACTATTGTAGACTGGCCTCTAATAATTAGTCTTGCCCTTATCGTGGGTATTATGTTTTATGTAAAGCGTAGTAAAATGAGGCAATAAACTGTGTAGGTTGCACTAAGGACGAGCGTGTGGTGCATGTATAGCTAATTAGGTTGGGAATAATAC